TTTCGCGACGCACCAGACTTCAACCACAGGAAACAACAGATCGACAAGCGGCCGTCTCTCCCCAACGATCCGTCACGATTTCACTAAACTTCTCAATGCACAAACGGGTGACGCCTTTCCCAGGTACGACACACTTCCTTATATTCAATTTCCTTCCGTGATTAACGTTAATTTGTTTGACATACTCCTCCCATTTTGCGTAACGTGACAGTGAAAGTAAACAATCAATTATGTGACTCGCGGCACAGATTTTCTTCATTGCCACAACTATGTCCAGCCAATATCTCGATTGAACAGTAGCCTATTGTTTAATTTACTGTAAATTGTTTTTCTATTCATGTTCAAAAGGTTGTAGTACGTTCCTAGTGACAAGTCAGGTGAAATTTTACATTATTCACTTGTAGTAAGTCACCAAAAACCCGTTTGGTTATCCATCCATCCATCTTCTTCCGCTTATCCGGGGCCGGGTCGCGGGGGCAGCAGTCTAAGCAGAGATGCCCAGACTTCCCTCTCCCTGGACACTTCCTCCAGCTCTTCCGGGGGGACACCGAGGCGTTCCCAGGCCAGCCGGGAGACATAGTCTCTCCAGCGTGTCCTAGGTCTTCCCCGGGGTCTCCTCCCAGTGGGACGTGCCCGGAACACCTCCCCGGGAAGGCGTCCAGGAGGCATCCGAAACAGATGCCCGAGCCACCTCAGCTGGCCCTCTCGATGTGGAGGAGCAGCGGCTCTACTCTGAGCTCCTCCCGAGTGACCGAGCTCCACACCCTATCTCTAAGGGATCGCCCCGCCACCCTGCGGAGAAAGCTCATTTCGGCCGCCTGTATCCGGGATCTTGTCCTTTCAGTCATGACCCACAGCTCATGACCATAGGTGAGAGTAGGAACGTAGATTGACCGGTAAATCGAGAGCTTTGCCTTACGGCTCAGCTCCTTCTTCACCATGACAGACTGGTACATCGACCGCATTACTGCAGAAGCTGCACCGATCCGTCTGTCAATCGCCCGTTCCATCCTTCCCTCACTCGTGAACAAAACCCCAAGATACTTAAACTCCTCCACTTGAGGAAGGATCTCTCCACCAACCTGAAGTGAGCAAGCCGCCCTTTTCCGACTGAGGACCATGGCCTCGGATTTGGAGGCGCTGATTCTCATCCCAGCCGCTTCACACTCGGCTGCAAACCGTCCCAGTGCACGCTGAAGGTCCTGGTGTGAGGGGGCCAACACGACAACATCATCCGCAAAGAGCAGAGACGTTTGAGAGACGTTTGGTTAATTACAGTAATTTTTTTTATAAAATAATAATTGTTTACTAAATAGGCTACATGAAGGGAGTTATTGGGGCAATTTCACCTGTAGTAAGCCAGTCTAGTCACTGAACATACTACAACCATTTTGAACATGAAAAAACCCTTTTGGTGAATTACAGTATTTTTCTGCAGAATACAGGCTACATGAAGGGAAGTATTGTCCAAATTTTACTTGTAAGTCAGTCTTACAGAAACCTTCTACGAGCTTTGGAATTTGAAAATGTCTGTTAATAAATTTAAAAAGTAATTTGAATTAAAACAAATTATACGTTTTAACCACTGATCTACATAGAATGACATTATAGATCAGTGGTTTTAACGCAGTTAGTGGAATTGGCAGACGTTCCCTTGTGCATCATGAGCTGTGGTTAGCGCGTCAAAGCATTCTCGTGTAGAAATATGCAGCTACAGGCCGCTACGCCAGTTGATTTTCAATTAATATTTCATGTCGATATACAATGGTTGCATATTGTTAAAACTCATCGTGCTATAGTAAGACTATAGCCTATGGCTTAAGGGTCAAGGGAAAACAAATGTACTGCGAAAATCGTCTTTAATATTTAAAAACAGACATTTTCAAATTCCTGCTTGTATACTATGTACACAATGTGTAGTCAGATAAAAATAAGCATATAATATGAACGCAACTGCGAAATTTCACCTTTTTTTAACAGGAAGGAAAATTGTATTAACTTGAAACGCCGTGCATGCGTTGCGTTCATAGTCTCTTGTCTGTAGGCTATATAGTTTTCCTCCCATAGAGCATATTATAAAGAAAAAGCTTAACGTCAATGCAGTAAGACGGTGATATTTAAACTCAGTAGCCAATACACCTTACTGAACATGCAACGCGCGATTGCACGTTAAGCGTTTTATAATGGTTTTCTATGGGTGTTGTTCATAATCTGACGTAATGTTTGCCTCTATAAAGTATGCTTTATTAATAGGGTAGGCCTATATTATTGTGTACTAAATTTGGTGCTTCAATATCACTCTCATTAAGCGTCTTAAATGCGGAAGAACGCTTGATTATGCTGCCGTTGTCTGTTTTAGCAGAATACTGCCATCTAGTGGTAGCAGCTTTTCTCAGACAGCTGTGTGTGGATCGTGCAAGGCGAAACCCGCGAAATGAAAGTCTCAAAATCCAAATGAATCAAATAGGATCGACTCAATGAATCGAGTCAATGAATGCACGCGCGTCACCTGATCCACACATGCACGTCTTCTGTGTTGCATGTGCAAATTATGATACACTAATACAAAGGAAAACATTTGTATTCACAAAAATGTCTCTATTTGTACAAATTGCTTCACATTCATTCAATTTTGAATTTTGCACACACAAGTTGAAAGGCATGGATAAAACATTTCTGCAACATGTATCAAGTTCATTGATAAGTGTGCTTGCACGTGTTAATCATTTTGATACTAAAATCATCCCATATACTAGTCCCAATCAGTATTTTAAGATGACAAAATTGTCCCCACCAATATTTTAGCGAACTCCTTTCAGGGCTTTTCCTGCATATAGAAGTACGAGGCGGCCGCCTCCGGCTCTCGACGTCACATGCAGACACACTTTTCCCACCGCGGCGGTTCTGTTGCGGGTTCCCGGCCGGTGCCCATTCTCAAACCGTAGCCTATAGTTGGCCGATAAGCTGCGCGGATCATAATCCGCGGGTCGGGCGAGCCAAATAATAAAAACATTACATTTTTGAGGGTGGATGACAGATAAATCATTATAATGTGTTGGTTTGAATAAAGACACGGAACTCTCGAATGGTAAAACACTCTTTTACTTTCGTTTTCAACAACGTAATTCTCTTTAGAGAAAACCAATCAAGGAAAACATATCAGCGCATTTAATACAGTTGTAATTTTTCAATGTAAATTATTTGATTTGATTTGTAACTGCCTACTGTCTTATTATTCTGATTTAATGTATTGATCAAATTAAGGAATATTTTAAATGAAAGATGGAGCATACATAAAATTAGAGGGAAAAATGCCCTATTATAAAGGTAAAAAAGTGTTTGCCAACAGTGATGTAATGAAACATTGACAATTTAACTTTGAAGGGAGTAAAAAGCCTCTGTTTAGGCTATTAAGGAAATGTAATTTTGCCCAAATAAGAACTTTTAATTTAAATAAATCTTAATTTTAAATCAGCCTACTTCAGTGTGATATTTTACCATATTATCATGCTTAACATTGAGAATTTGAATAATTGTAATGTGACGATCAGATTCAGATCTAAATCAAAGAATATCATATGTTTGGGGGGTTGGATTTTTAACAGCGGATTCGGGTGACTCAAAGTGCACCAGATTAATGAATTTAACTTTAAAATGTACTAAATTTTCTTCCTGGGGGGACATGCCCCCAGACCCCCCTAGAGCAGGGATTCCCAAAGTGTGGTACGCGAGCTGCCACCAGGGGGTGCGCGAGAGGAAAAATGTAATGGCGGTCTGTTAAGTGGGATTTTTCCATACAATAAAATAAAAACCATGAACAGTAAACATTTCCTTTGTAATCGCTTTTATTTTAAATAAAAAAACTATAATTTATGAGTTTTTGATAGAAACGTTGAAAACAGCTGCTGTCTTCTACGCACTGCTCTGCACTGCAGCCGGTAACGTGACACATGTGCTTTCGTGTGTTGGCTGGCGCTGAGCCAGTGCTGCCATATCACAACCATTGAGTGTTTTCAACCACATAATGTTTATTTTAGGTTTCAGACATTTAAATACACATAAGTAATGTTACTTCCAAAACAATGATTTTGATTTTGCTGATTTCTATGGAAGCGGCAATATTAATCCTTTTCATTATAATAAGACGACACGTTTTATTCATATCAGATACACATTGTATACGTAGCTTCACATTTGACCCTATTCTTCTCCCAGTTCACCGGCCTCTTACTTTCATGTATTTCGTGAGAAGTGGAGGAATTGACGTCACGTGTTGTAAATCCAACAGATCCGATTCTCTGAACTGTGGCACAAACTAACGATCGTTATGAAGGTGTTTGAACAATAAAACACATCCACTTGCACATATTTGACAATCGGAATATCAGTGTTTCATGCTATAGCTAATACATTTGTGAATATTTTTGATAAAAAAGGAAAAATGACATAAAAGCAGATCATCATTCATTCAGCGCTGTGTTGTGGTTGCGCTGTGTCACGTGACAAGGAATGACGCGTCACCATGGAAACATTAAAGTGACAGGTCGCCTTGAAAACCTCACGCTGGGGGGTCAGTTAAAATATATTAAACTTACGTGTGAAAGGGTTAAAAGTGGAAGCTTGTGCGTAGCTTTGTTGCATTATATTGAAACTTTGTTGATGTTGTTACTGTCATGCGTGTTCTGGTTATTAGCGCATGATTAAACACGAGTCTTTATAGGGCGATAAAACAAAGCTTTGTTGCATTTTTTTTTTTGAAATGGGGATTGGGGGTGCGCCAACCCGGTTGGGACATAGAAGGGGGTGCGCAGGAAAAAAAGTTTGGGAACCGCTGCCCTAGAGGTAGCCTACCGAACTCCCCCCACAAATATACTGTGGGAAACACAATAGGCTATATGATGGGCTACGAAAAATACAAATTAAATTATCTTACAATACATGATAAGGATTTTACCGAATGAGATTAGTCTAGGGGAAGATGTTCTAAAATTTGGTTTGTATGATCCTGCCCTGTTCTTGACAGTAAGTGTTAAGTGGAATTATCCTCCTTTCTGACTTTTCACAATATTTCACCATGCATGGGCGTATTTTTGGTCATGTTATACCTCGGTTGCTGCTTGTTGTAAAGTAAAAGTGAATTAAATACCAAAGGATAACACTTTGAAGAGCCCATTCTTTGCCATGAGGACAACAAAGTCATAGCCTAGCAACAGGGTGATATAAGGTGGTTTATTATTTTCGTTTCTCTACTCCTGTATTAATAAACGTTGAACTCAAAAGAATGAAGTGTAGTGTTAAGCCATTTATTTATCCCACACACCACGCCTGCTCATAGGCTACTCTTTTTTTTCCTTTTTTTAAAGAGACCCCCACAAAGATTAAATCATAATTCGAACCCTGCCCACCATCATAACCCCGCCCTCTCATACCTTCAGTCTCTCCACTGCTTCCTCATTGGTTATCATCTCGCCCTGAAACTCTTCTAATTGGGCGTGGCCATCCAGCGGGGCGGAGTCACTCTCGGGGGCGGGGCCTTCTCCGGTGACAGGCTCAGATGTGGGCGGGGCTCCATTAGAGGCGGGATCAGCAGGCATAAGAGTGACGTCAACACGGTTATTATTGACTTCAGCAGCTAAAAGACAAACAGAATGTCATATTTTCAATGTTACGATCCAATCTGAACTTCTGACTAAATACAGATAAATAAACTAAATTAAGTTTAGTGTATGTGTGTGTGTGTGTGTGTGTGTGTGTGTGTACCTGGAGCGGTGACCAGTCGGCTCAGCCCTTGTGACAGCAGGAGGTCTCTGAGTCTGTTCACTTCTTCCTTCAGTTCTCGGATCAGACGAGCGTTTGGATCCTCGTTAATTACAGCATTACAGCGGATCTGCTTTGCACGGTCAGCGTATCTACACACACACACACACACACACAAGCTGTGACAGTCACAGGGATAGATGGTTCATCCATTGATTGATTGGCTGATTGATGGATTGATGTACCTGAGTGTGCTGAGTGTTTCCTCATAGTTAATATCTGCGGGACTGAGAGCAGCAATCATAGCGGTACGAGAATTACCACCTGAAACACACACACGCGTGTTTCATAAACAGTACTGTTTCTGTGTGTTTGTGAGTGTGTGTGTGTTTATGGGTTTATATTACATTGTGGGTCCCCACGAGGGAAATGGGTTAATTAACACACTAAATTATATTTTTGGAAAATGTAAAAATGCAGAAAGTTTTGTGTGATTGGTAGGTTTAGGGGTCGGGTTAGTGTGTGTGTTAGTGTGTGTGTGCGTGTGTGTCTTACCCAGGTTCTCCTTCAAGATCCAGGTGAGCACTGAGTCTCTGTACGGAATGAACTCACTTTTCTTTCTTTTGCTGGTTTGCTGTTTGTCACATATAAACAAACAGTCATTTAACAGTCTGGGGCATAAATACATCAGTAGCTTCTCTATGACAGGACATTCATCCCATTACAAGCCTGTACGAGTTTCTTTCTTCTGTACAACATCAAGGAGACGTTCAGCAGAAAGCCCACGCTGCTCTTTGCCACATAATGACAATGAATGACAAAACAAAAGCATCATGACAGTTTGTCCACATGACCTGTGCGCTGTCCACATGACCACATCACCTCAGAAAACAGAAGCATAAAGTCAAGTATTCAGTCATAGAGACGGTTTGAATCCCACATACTTTCATTGTCTTTAGAAACAGCAGCGTGGACATTCTGCTAAAGATGGAGCAGTTCTGTCTTTCCCATGCATTTAGTATATGGGTCTGCAGCAGTACATGATGACAGATTAATCATTTTATGAATTAACTCACATTTTCAGCCAGAGCGGAGATGACCTTCCCCAGAGTGGTGAGAGATTTATTAATATTAGCGCCTTCCTGAGGAACAGACAGAGTGTGTGTGAAAGAGTGAAGGAGATGCTGCCTCTTCATTATGGATGGAAGCAACAGTGCCGTACCTTCAGTCTCAGGCCTTTAGCTCCAGATGAATCCGCTCGCTCGCTGCCCGCCAGATCCACCAGACTCACCTTACTGACCTGCACACGGCAGAGAACATGTGACGCTCAGAAATCACACGCACACGCCAGAGAACATGTGACGCTCAGAAATCACACGCACACGCCAGAGAACATGTGACGCACAGAAATCACACGCACACGCCAGAGAACATGTGAGGCTCAGAAATCACACGCACACGCCAGAGAACACGTGACGCTCAGAAATCACACGCACACACCAGAGAACATGTGACGCACAGAAATCACACGCACACACCAGAGAACATGTGACGCTCAGAAATCACACGCACACGCCAGAGAACACGTGACGCTCAGAAATCACACGCACACACCAGAGAACATGTGACGCTCAGAAATCACACGCACACGCCAGAGAACACGTGACGCTCAGAAATCACACGCACACGCCAGAGAACATGTGACGCTCAGAAATCACACGCACACGCCAGAGAACACGTGACGCTCAGAAATCACACGCACACACCAGAGAACATGTGACGCTCAGAAATCACACACACACACCAGAGAACACGTGACGCTCAGAAATCACACGCACACACCAAAGAACATGTGACGCACAGAAATCACACACACACACCAGAGAACATGTGACGCACAGAAATCACACGCACACACCAGAGAACATGTGACGCTCAGAAATCACACGCACACGCCAGAGAACACGTGACGCTCAGAAATCACACGCACACACCAGAGAACATGTGACGCTCAGAAATCACACGCACACGCCAGAGAACACGTGACGCTCAGAAATCACACGCACACGCCAGAGAACATGTGACGCTCAGAAATCACACGCACACACCAGAGAACATGTGACGCACAGAAATCACACGCACACGCCAGAGAACATGTGAGGCTCAGAAATCACACGCACACGCCAGAGAACACGTGACGCACAGAAATCACACGCACACGCCAGAGAACACGTGACACACAGAAATCACACGCACACACCAGAGAACATGTGACGCTCAGAAATCACACGCACACGCCAGAGAACATGTGACGCTCAGAAATCACACGCACACGCCAGAGAACACGTGACGCTCAGAAATCACACGCACACGCCAGAGAACATGTGACGCTCAGAAATCACACGCACACACCAGAGAACATGTGACGCACAGAAATCACACGCACACGCCAGAGAACATGTGAGGCTCAGAAATCACACGCACACGCCAGAGAACATGTGACGCACAGAAATCACACGCACACACCAGAGAACATGTGAGGCTCAGAAATCACACGCACACGCCAGAGAACACGTGACGCTCAGAAATCACACGCACACACCAGAGAACACGTGACGCTCAGAAATCACACGCACACACCAGAGAACACGTGACGCTCAGAAATCACACACACACGCCAGAGAACATGTGACGCTCAGAAATCACACGCACACGCCAGAGAACATGTGACGCACAGAAATCACACGCACACACCAGAGAAACCGTGACGCTCAGAAATCACACACACACGCCAGAGAACATGTGACGCTCAGAAATCACACGCACACGCCAGAGAACATGTGACGCACAGAAATCACACGCACACGCCAGAGAACATGTGACGCTCAGAAATCACACGCACACGCCAGAGAACATGTGACGCACAGAAATCACACGCACACGCCAGAGAACATGTGACGCTCAGAAATCACACGCACACGCCAGAGAACATGTGACGCACAGAAATCACACGCACACGCCAGAGAACACGTGACGCTCAGAAATCACACGCACACGCCAGAAAACATGTGACGCTCAGAAATCACACGCACACGCCAGAGAACCCGTGAGGCTCAGAAATCACACGCACACGCAAGAGAACATGTGACGCACAGAAATCACACGCACACGCCAGAGAACATGTGACGCTCAGAAATCACACGCACACGCAAGAGAACATGTGACGCACAGAAATCACACGCACACACCAGAGAACATGTGACGCACAGAAATCACACACACACGCCAGAGAACATGTGACGCACAGAAATCACACGCACACGCCAGAGAACACGTGAGGCTCAGAAATCACACGCACACGCCAGAGAACACGTGACGCACAGAAATCACACACACACACCAGAGAACACGTGACGCACAGAAATCACACGCACGCCAGAGAACATGTGAGGCTCAGAAATCACACACACACGCCAGAGAACACGTGACGCACAGAAATCACACACACACACCAGAGAACACGTGACGCACAGAAATCACACACACACACCAGAGAACACGTGACGCACAGAAATCACACGCACACGCCAGAGAACATGTGACGCTCAGAAATCACACGCACACACCAGAGAACACGTGACGCACAGAAATCACACGCACACGCCAGAGAACACGTGACACACAGAAATCACACACCAGAGAACACGTGACACACAGAAATCACACGCACACGCCAGAGAACATGTGACGCTCAGAAATCACACACACACACCAGAGAACACGTGACGCACAGAAATCACACACACACACCAGAGAACATGTGACGCTCAGAAATCACACGCACACACCAGAGAACACGTGACACACAGAAATCACACGCACACGCCAGAGAACACGTGAGGCTCAGAAATCACACGCACACACCAGAGAACATGTGACTCACAGAAATCACACGCACACACCAGAGAACATGTGACGCTCAGAAATCACACGCACACGCCAGAGAACACGTGAGGCTCAGAAATCACACACACACACCAGAGAACATGTGACGCTCAGAAATCACACGCACACGCCAGAGAACACGTGAGGCTCAGAAATCACACGCACACGCCAGAGAACACGTGACGCACAGAAATCACACACACACGCCAGAGAACACGTGACGCACAGAAATCACACGCACACGCCAGAGAACATGTGAGGCTCAGAAATCACACACACACGCCAGAGAACACGTGACGCACAGAAATCACACACACACACCAGAGAACACGTGACGCACAGAAATCACACACACACACACCAGAGAACACGTGACGCACAGAAATCACACGCACACGCCAGAGAACATGTGAGGCTCAGAAATCACACGCACACGCCAGAGAACACGTGACGCACAGAAATCACACACAAACACCAGAGAACACGTGACGCACAGAAATCACACGCACACGCAAGAGAACATGTGACGCACAGAAATCACACGCACACACCAGAGAACACGTGACGCTCAGAAATCACACGCACACGCCAGAGAACACGTGACGCACAGAAATCACACGCACACACCAGAGAACACGTGACGCACAGAAATCACACGCACACACCAGAGAACATGTGACGCACAGAAATCACACGCACACACCAGAGAACACGTGACGCTCAGAAATCACACGCACACACCAGAGAACACGTGACGCTCAGAAATCACACGCACACACCAGAGAACACGTGACCCACAGAAATCACACGCACACACCAGAGAACATGTGACGCACAGAAATCACACGCACACACCAGAGAACACGTGACGCACAGAAATCACACGCACACACCAGAGAACACGTGACGCTCAGAAATCACACGCACACGCCAGAGAACACGTGACGCACAGAAATCACACGCACACACCAGAGAACACGTGACACACAGAAATCACACGCACACACCAGAGAACACGTGACGCACAGAAATCACACGCACACACCAGAGAACATGTGACGCACAGAAATCACACGCACACACCAGAGAACATGTGACGCACAGAAATCACACGCACACGCCAGAGAACATGTGACGCACAGAAATCACACGCACACACCAGAGAACACGTGACGCACAGAAATCACACGCACACACCAGAGAACACGTGACGCACAGAAATCACACGCACACACCAGAGAACATGTGACGCACAGAAATCACACGCACACGCCAGAGAACATGTGACGCTCAGAAATCACACGCACACGCCAGAGAACACGTGACGCTCAGAAATCACACGCACACACCAGAGAACACGTGACGCTCAGAAATCACACGCACACGCCAGAGAACATGTGACGCTCAGAAATCACACGCACACGCCAGAGAACACGTGACGCTCAGAAATCACACGCACACGCCAGAGAACATGTGACGCTCAGAAATCACACGCACACGCCAGAGAACATGTGACGCACAGAAATCACACGCACACACCAGAGAACATGTGACGCACAGAAATCACACGCACACACCAGAGAACACGTGACGCTCAGAAATCACACGCACAACCCAGAGAACACGTGAGGCTCAGAAATCACACGCACACTCCAGAGAACACGTGACGCACAGAAATCACACGCACACACACCAGAGAACACGTGACGCTCAGACATCACACGCACACGCCAGAGAACATGTGACGCACAGAAATCACACGCACACACCAGAGAACATGTGACGCTCAGAAATCACACGCACACACACCAGAGAACATGTGACGCACAGAAATCACACGCACACACCAGAGAACACGTGACGCTCAGAAATCACACGCACAACCCAGAGAACACGTGAGGCTCAGAAATCACACGCACACTCCAGAGAACACGTGACGCACAGAAATCACACGCACACACACCAGAGAACATGTGACGCTCAGACATCACACGCACACACCAGAGAACATGTGACGCACAGAAATCACACGCACACACCAGAGAACATGTGACGCTCAGAAATCACACGCACACACACCAGAGAACACGTGACGCACAGAAATCACACGCACACTCCAGAGAACACGTTACGCACAGAAATCACACGCACACACACCAGAGAACACGTGACGCTCAGACATCACACGCACACGCCAGAGAACATGTGACGCACAGAAATCACACGCACACACCAGAGAACATGTGACGCTCAGAAATCACACGCACACACACCAGAGAACACGTGACGCACAGAAATCACACGCACACTCCAGAGAACACGTTACGCACAGAAATCACACGCACACACGCCAGAGAACACGTGACGCACAGAAATCACACGCACACGCCAGAGAACACGTGACGCTCAGAAATCACACGCACAACCCAGAGAACACGTGACGCTCAGAAATCACACGCACACGCCAGAGAACACGTGATGCTCAGAAATTACACGCACACGCCAGAGAACATGTGACGCTCAGAAATCACACGCACACACCAGAGAACATGTGACGCACAGAAATCACACGCACACGCCAGAGAACATGTGACGCACAGAAATCACACGCACACACCAGAGAACATGTGACGCTCAGAAATCACACGCACACGCCAGAGAACACGTGATGCTCAGAAATTACACGCACACGCCAGAGAACATGTGACGCTCAGAAATCACACGCACACACCAGAGAACATGTGACGCACAGAAATCACACGCACACGCCAGAGAACATGTGACGCACAGAAATCACACGCACACACCAGAGAACATGTGACGCTCAGAAATCACACGCACACGCCAGAGAACACGTGATGCTCAGAAATCACACGCACACACCAGAGAACATGTGACGCTCAGAAATCAAACGCACACGCCAGAGAACACGTGATGCTCAGAAATCACACGCACACACCAGAGAACATGTGACGCACAGAAATCACATGCACACGCCAGAGAACATGTGATGCTCAGAAATCACACGCACACGCCAGAGAACATGTGACGCACAGAAATCACACGCACACGCCAGAGAACATGTGACGCACAGAAATCACACGCACACACCAGAGAACACGTGACGCTCAGAAATCACACGCACATGCCAGAGAACATGTGAGGCTCAGAAATCACACACAAACACCGGAGAACACGTGAGGCTCAGAAATCACACACACACACCAGAGAACACGTGACGCACAGAAATCACACGCACACGCCAGAGAACATGTGACGCACAGAAATCACACGCACACACCAGAGAACATGTGACGCACAGAAATCACACGCACACACCAGAGAACATGTGACGCTCAGAAATCACACGCACACACCAGAGAACACGTGAGGCTCAGAAATCAAACGCACACACCAGAGAACACGTGACGCACAGAAATCACACGCACACACCAGAGAACATGTGACGCTCAGAAATCACACGCACACACCAGAGAACACGTGAGGCTCAGAAATCAAACGCACACACCAGAGAACACGTGACGCACAGAAATCACACGCACACACCAGAGAACATGTGACGCTCAGAAATCACACGCACACACCAGAGAACACGTGAGGCTCAGAAATCACACGCACACACCAGAGAACATGTGACGCACAGAAATCACACGCACACACCAGAGAACATGTGACGCTCAGAAATCACACGCACACACCAGAGAACACGTGAGGCTCAGAAATCAAACGCACACGCCAGAGAACACGTGACGCACAGAAATCACACACACACACCAGAGAACACGTGTGGCTCAGAAATCACACACAAACACCAGAGAACACGTGAGGCTCAGAAATCACACACACACACCAGAGAACACGTGACGCACAGAAATCACACGCACACACCAGAGAACACGTGATGCTCAGAAATCAAACGCACACACCAGAGAACACGTGACGCACAGAAATCACACGCACACGCCAGAGAACACGTGAGGCTCAGAAATCAAACGCACACACCAGAGAACACGTGACGCACAGAAATCACACGCACACGCCAGAGAACATGTGACGCACAGAAATCAAACGCACACACCAGAGAACACGTGACGCACAGAAATCACACGCACACGCCAGAGAACACGTGAGGCTCAGAAATCAAACGCACACACCAGAGAACACGTGACGCACAGAAATCACACGCACACGCCAGAGACGCGTGACGCACAGAAATCACAGACACACACCAGAGAACACGTGAGGCTCAGAAATCACACACAAACACCAGAGAACACGTGAGGCTCAGAAATCACACACACACACCAGAGAACACGTGACGCACAGAAATCACACACACACACCAGAGAACACGTGACGCACAGAAATCACACACACACACACACCAGAGAACACGTGACACACAGAAATCACACGCACACGCCAGAGAACACGTGACGCACAGAAATCACACACACACACACACCAGAGAACACGTGACACACAGAAATCACACGCACACGCCAGAGAACACGTGACGCACAAAAATCACACACACACACACCAGAGAACAAGTGACACACAGAAATCACACACACACACCAGAGAACACGTGACGCACAGAAATCACACACACACACCAGAGAACATGTGACGCACAGAAATCACACGCACACACCAGAGAACATGTGACGCTCAGAAATCACACACACAACACAGAGAACAAGTGACACACAGAAATCACACACACACACCAGAGAACACGTGACGCACAGAAATCACACGCACACGCCAGAGAACACGTGACGTACAGAAATCACACACACACACCAGAGAACACGTGACACACAGAAATCACACACACACACCAGAGAACACGTGACGCACAGAAATCACACGCACACGCCAGAGAACACGTGACACACAGAAATCACACGCACACACCAGAGAACACGTGACACACAGAAATCACACGCACACGCCAGAGAACACGTGACGCACAGAAATCACACGCACACGCCAGAGAACACGTGACACACAGAAATCACACACCAGAGAACACGTGACACACAGAAATCACACGCACACGCCAGAGAACACGTGACACACAGAAATCACACGCACACACCAGAGAACACGTGACACACAGAAATCACACGCACACGCCAGAGAACACGTGACGCACAGAAATCACACGCACACGCCAGAGAACATGTGACGCACAGAAATCACACGCACACACCAGAGAACACGTGACGCTCAGAAATCACACGCACACGCCAGAGAACACGTGACGCA